CTACGTCAAAATCCGTATTCCGCTGATTAACTTACAGGAATAGTTACTCGAACGTTCAGTTCAGCTAGAACATGTCAAGTAAATATTTCTGCCCCACTTGGAGAGAAATACACAGTTAATAGATAGAAATTCGTCACTAAATAAGCCGCATCTGAGTGCGGCTCCGTAAAAATGGGCCACTATCTCTCGTCGTAATTAGCTGTATCTAAAGGGTGAAATTATTTTCTTTCTGTTTCTTTTTCATTATACTTCCTGTTATTAAATATACAAAGATACAACTTTCAGGAAGAGAAAAGCGGCCAATCGAAGGACTGTCATTCAACACACAATGGGGATCAGGTGGGTGGTGGGATTCGAACACATCTCCGGGGTGATCATTTGGAGAAGTTACCACTGGAATCTGAACAAAACCCAGCTCGCTTTAATGGAACTTCTGACAATGCTTTGTTCACCATATAGCCAAGAACCAATGTGCGACGGATTAATCGAGTTGCAACGTCTACAAATAGTAGCTACTCCGATACTTCTTCCCGGTCATGGAAACGCCCGATGTTCCAAAGAGTTTGCCAAATGGAAATACAAATGAGAAACAATCCTTTCTCTCCAAGACTCTCCTGTTCAAGATAATGAGCATTATTTTGGAACAGGTATAATTTGATGAATACTTCGTCACGGTTTTCACTGTTACTGATGTCCAACTCTTTACAACGTAATGATCACTCTTTTTGATGAACTACGTACGGTATTTTCCGAGATTTCCACGCCTCCCCCTCACCGCCTTTTGGCCTTTGTTCGCCACTGTTCAGTCTTCACTCAAAATGCGTTACTCTTGACCTTGCTATCAAAATACATAAAGAGTGGCATTACAAAATCTGGTAATATCTACACCATCAAAACGACTATCTACCCACAATAATTGTAATAGCTGAAATAGCCTGCCGAACGAGTGCTACTACACTCCCTCTGCATGCTCAGGTAGACCAGTTGCAAGAGGGCTCATAGAGTTCAGTCTAAGGCACGATGAGTTAATATAAATAAGCTAACAGGTGCACTCGCGTTTGCTATCCGTTCGACTCTGGCTTGCTGTGCAATTAGACCATTTAGTGATAAGGCTGAAATTCTATGGATGCAAACTAAACATAATGTCCGAAGAGAAATCAATATGAGTGCAGTTAAAACACAACGAGTGAGGTCTGCATGGTACCAAGACAACGCAGTATCCGTACATCAAAACCTCACAAATGCTGCCATACCTTGGCTCCTATAAAACAGCGACATTAAGTCAATTGGTGTTTCCGATTACATTTGAGGATCTTTTGGTTTTTACTGTTCTACAGGTTTTCATATCTTCCTCAGAGGATGCATAATATCCACAAACGTTTCCTCGAAACGCAAAAGGAACAACAGATTGGCATTATTAAAAGACTATTTAATTTCAGTACTGCAATGTTCTTTAGGCATGAAAAGTCATTTGCGTACGTGTGTCTGTCTCTACCACGTGTTCTCCATTTGCGAGTATAATCAAAACTACTAATACATGATTTAATTCAGACGGAGACCCGCTCTTGATAACCTGCATTCGTGCAAATCTTGGGACGTTAGGCGCACTCAGTTGCTCCATGTTCACAGAGGCGAAATACAGTCAACATTCTTATGGTTTGCATCATGGTATCCAAATTTACTGTTAGTATTTGATAGGGAAATATTTTCACGCGATTGCAGAATACACAGTGTAAAACTTTTATCGCGACATGAAAAGTTTCTCATCGATGAATGGAAGCTGAGTGTAGCTGCATACAAAAAAGACAACTACTTTATTCAGATAACATCCTAATTAAATGTACTGAATGGGTGTTTGGGAAGGGTTTCATCAACATTGAACACGTGTTGAAGGATCTCTTTGACAACGGTTCGCAGGCCATATAACCCTGAGCTACTGTTTCATTTCCAATGTGAGATAAACTGACCGACTTGTGACGTCCGTATGTAAACACATGGCAACTCGGTACTCCTCCCGGGAAATAAATTGTACAAAATCGGGCTCATGACCTCTATTCAAGTTAAAATCAGAGAATGTCTCCTGATTAATTTTCACCGTGTTTAGCAATTGATAGTAGCGGTTGAACACCTGCGAATTTGGGAGATAAAAACACTACCCGAGAAATATTACGGTAGATGGATTGTGTACGAAATAAAATCAAAATGGGACGTTGAATGGAACATGTTTTATAGGAATGGTTGGTAATCAGCTTGCACAACCCGATCCTCTAATGTAATTGTAGCGTGAATTCTGAGAAGTAAGTTTGACTTCAGCCGCTGAGACTTCTGTTGTGTCACTCTATTGGTCTGGGGTGATATTTTTGCACTAGCGGTTGAAAGTTCCTGAAGGAAAACAAACAACTGACTATCACAGCGTAACTTTGTATAACTTCCTTCGCCTTGCGATTTTAGAGGTTCGACGCTTGGTGAGTAAGACAACCGGGAACATACACGCAGCTCACATGAGTTGAATATACTNTTCCCCCCCCCCCCCATTCTTGAACCTCAATAAGAATGGCTGGGAGTTTTGCTAGTAATGAATATCTGTACGGAATCCATGTACATTACGGTTAACGTTCTTCACAAAATGGCGGTACAGCCTTCGATAGACCATGCTTGCAAATCTTCGTCCACTAAGAGCAGCGTGTGATGAAATGCTTGCAACTGAAAGGCTCGACGAGGAACTGGAAACCAAATACACAGTCCGGACTATAAAAACCAAACAATCGCTGTCTGCAAGTTTACTAGAACGATATTAGCGTTCACGCTTTGGAATTCAATAAGGCAGACGCCGCACGGAGACATGCATTAGCTATTCGACACAGCCTTACCACAACCAATCAGGTGACCCAGTTGCGGTTCCCGTGATTGGTTGGTTCACCAAATCTGACAGAATTTGGTTGCCAAAAATAGCATCTAGCTCGGACTGGTTTTCATGGCTGCGCGTTACACCTCGCCTGATCAATTGGGACAGACGGACATGAGTTAACAACGCAAGCTATGGGATTTCTCGCTCAAAGACCGCTTCTGCCCTGACTCAGTACATTCCTCCTTAGAATATGTTGAGCGAACAGGACGGTCTTCGCTCTTGTTTTGGTTTCGTTATCAACAGTAGGATAGTTGATAGAAGTGTGGTGAAATCGGTTATTCCTAAAAACAATAGCTCCCGAGTTAGCGGAAAACAATTGGAATAATTTTACGAGGGAACCAAGTTGAGTTGGACAGCCGTTGAAATATAAATAAAGAGTAGTAATGAGCTGATTGCTGCACCGATACCTAAGAAATCGTGTTCGGAGTACGAAATAATCCAACGATTTTGATGATAAATAGCTCTGTGGTCACTCCCAAGAACAGTACGAATGTTTTAACAAGGGTTTCCGAGTAGGTCCGCAACCTGTGCGGTTTGTCACCTTTGATTATTGTACTGTGATTTGTTTGATAACCTGGACTCGGACGCGTGTAAGACAATAATAACACATGTTGCTTCAGTTACCTGAGACGTCCATGGACCGAAATGACCATCGGTCCGAAAATACCGCCGAGTCGAAATACGCTTGACGAACATAATTTTCAAACGAAATGTCCCACAAATAAGTTTAGTAATTGCAAATCACCTGCTCAGCCACAGTGGACTCCGATGAAAAACAGAGCATCAGGTTCGAGATTTTCAACGATAGTCGTAGATGAGAGCATTGCCATGCAGTATTTTCGTGTAACACAGCTCTTCAGAACTAGCCCAGGTAAACCAAGGGGTTAGCGCGTCGGATTAACAATCCATTACCCTTCGTATTCTAACCCATTAGGATTCAACTTACGTGTACTGCTGGTGAACTCTAACAAAGATGAAACACCAACAAATAATCTAGATCGGTGATCATTTTTCATATTCAGTTGATCATCTAATATTGTCCCTTTGAAGAGTGTGTGAGCGGTACGCATGACTTGTCCATCTGTTCTTTTTTATTGAGAACTTGGCTACAGTGCATTAAACGGAGATGATTTCGTGGGACGAAATGTCTTAAACCGGACAGCTGCCAACAAAAAGTAAATGGTGGCAACCAATCATGTTACCCACGAGAATATTACTCTATTGAAGATCTCGTGACACAAAGAAGAGATAGTGAGTTCGAGAAGGAAGATAAACAGTGCGATCATTTGTTAACTCTGCCTCTATTTCATTCCATTCCACAGAACGATGCAGCAGTAATGCAAGCCGTAAAATGGATGGTACTTGGCCGAAATCATGGATGGTTTTTTATGGCTGGGCGACGGGGAGAGAGGATCGATGTTGCGGAAATGTATCCGTAAGCGCACACACACATTCCTTTTACTGATGCCATAATAATGGGGAAGTAAGTCTGTGTTCCGTGGGAGGAGTGAAGGGACGATTATCATAAATACTTGAGTGGTTCTCCAAGACCGCAATAGGAGAAGAAACAGAGAAAGAACATGGGCGACATAAATTCCAAGCTTTCTAACAGTTTTATATCGGTTTTCGGGAGGAACGGAGAGCGAAACACAAAAAGAAACCAGGACCACAAACGGATAGATGATTTTGTGCAGAGGGCAGGTACACATATGAGATCGTCTCCCAAAAACAGCAGAATCGATCATCAGGGATAAATACGCAAGCAAAAAATCAACCAAACAAGCAGATAAACGATGAGGACACATCAACAAAGAAGGCGATTTCAAGTAAGTAGACGAATGAACAAGGGGCCTGATTGTAACATCGACTCATGGGAATCAATTATGATCTGATGGTAGCTGGTATCCAACTGTTTGGTGAACCAGAGTAAAACTGATCGACAGAGAATCATGATCCATTGGAAACACAGGCTGGGGGAGAAGGGGAGGGGGACTGATAGCTTCGCTTGGATATATGCGTCGATGGTAATATCGAGTGTGCGCATATGTAGGATCGTTATTGATCGCGATTATCGGTTTTCAAACGCACCGACTTATTCTTTGTTACCGAACAAGGAGAGGATTATAAGGAACAGATAGACAACATCCATATAGAGCTGCAATGCACCAAAGATGTATTCTTCCGGACTCATCTCATGCTTGCGTCCACCAACAATCATCTGAGTGTCATAGGCCAAGTACTGAAAAGGGAAAGTTGAACATGAAACAGTCAGTGGTAACACCAGTGCCTTTGTATTCGCTCCAGTCTCCTTCCCGACCCTCCTAAGTCCAACGGGACAAGTGGAGGTGAAACTGAATCGGGTACATACACCTAATTCATCGAACTGTTACACCATCTAGATGAAAATCTTAAGAGAATTAAAAACGAAAGAAATGGCGGACCCGTCACACACACATTCGCCTCCATTTGAGTTACATAGCGGCTACTTCAAATAGTGTATGAGTGTAATTCAGTTAGTGGACCTCGGTATATTTCTTACAAGATTTGGGATCGTCTCTTGTTCAACATCCATTCATTTTCGCTTAACTGCGCTTCACAGTTCCCCATTGGATTGTTAGATCAGGCATTCTTAGGGTGGCCAAAGAAGTGTGATAGCAACCGGCAACACTAAGACTGAATGAAGTATCAATTCACTTAACAATGTTAACCACAAGGGAAAAGGGAAAAACAGTTGGAAATTTTATTTACACTAGTTTGTATTCGAAGACGATGACTACTAAGAGGAGGGCACCCAATTCCGACCCCAACAGCATATTTGCAGTCAATGAACGAGATGATGATTTTGATGTGAAACGAAGACCCAATAGCCTCCAGAAAAAATACTACACCCAAAATTCAAGGAGCAGAACGTGATGACACTGCATCATGCATGATGACACGGTGAATTGGGAACAAATCAGTTTATAAGAACATGGAACAGCTAAGTTTGTTGGTAGTTTCCCACTCCAGGCGCTTGGTACAGGCTAACGGTTCGCAGTTATATCAAACTCGACCGAGAACTGCACGCACGACTTTCGATTACGCAACCACCGACCTTGACTATTCATACGGAGACAGTGGTGCCGAAACACGGTTAATTTATCTTTTGTCCCCAGTGCCCCCAATCTCCGGCGACAATAGTAACCCACGTCACTTCTCGCACTAGCTGTCTACTTGTAACAAACATCCCACTAAAGATTAGTTTCCCAATGAGACAACTAGCTTTCAGCGGAAGCAACCAGACTCGAAGACTCGACATTAGGGTACCATTGCCGCCAGCAGACCTGGGCGACAAGCTCGGTACATCATTACGGTCATCGTACGCCACTTGAGGCTTTGCGTGATTACTAAATGGCGATTCGCATGAATAAATAATCTCGAGAGTACGTGGCGTAACCCTTATACCGTGGTAAAAAACGGCCTTCAAAAGGTTATTTTTGTTATTACCATAATATCAAATGAGAGAAAAGAAACAGTTGATAAACACTGTTGTTGTTGCTGTAGTCTTTGAGTAAGCGGATTTTCAATCAAGCAGAAGGGCGTGCGTTCAAGGTGATCAATAAGTTGTGAACAATTCAAACCACAAACTTCACTCAATTTTCAATGAGCCGATTGCTTCACAAGCTAACCTTTATCCATCTTTTCTGATCTCCACAATAAGGAGAGGTTTGAAAGGTCCAAAGTAGAACAATATCAATGATCAAAATCATGATGATAGTGATGAGGTAGGGAAAAAGAAACGAGGTATGTGTAAAGGGAAAAGCAGACGAAAGCTGAACACTTACCAGTCCGAATAGTAATGCACCTAGACCGCCGTAAACCGCTTGCAATACCTAGGGAGGGAGGGAGAAAAATGATGATGAGAGTGCGGTTATGGGCTAAGCATTCCTCATGAATGATGCGCAGTCTTTCTGTTTCAGTAGAAGAGCACACAAATCGAGTGGGAATCAGTTATAAACCCCACAAGGTAAGAGGTACCAACGGTATTGATATATAGACTTGATGTGGTTTGTTAGTCTACGTCCTAAGGACGGGATTTTCCTACTCCCGAATCCATACCGTATCCTCCAGTGATTTGGATCAATCGTTTTAACAGTGGTGCAGAATGAAGCACGTAAAAAGTACATTGCAACTTGATAGTGATTTCCTAGGACTTTACTATCAATCGTCCGTGGTTACATTTATTCAGGATTCAATGTGGGGAAATGAATAAAGAACAAATGAATCCAACCAGATTACAGTCGAAGAGGGTTAGGAGACAGAAAAATGCGAAAGACGTGTGTAACACACATATAAGGCCCACGATCCCATCGTTGTCTTGCTGGGTTACGTCATCATCTTGATAAAAGCCGACGTGGGTGACTTTAGGTAACCTGGATAAATTTTCTTTGAGAGTAACGATCAAGCTTCAGCCGTTGAATAGGAATCAACTCGGCGAATGGTGATGTCCTAACTAACGCCGTATTGGACTCAATCGACCCCTATTCATTTCCCCAAGATAGCGAACTTTGAATAACTGTGATCGGAAAAGGATGGGTGCAAAATCACCGATAACACAGTACAATATGCCAACAGATGTGGCACTCAACAGTAAAACGTGTATAGTAATTGAGCTACCGTATCAAATAATTTGTACCGATATAGGCCAAATGATGGTGCTCTTGGCCTGTGTAGAAAATAAATCCATAAATTGGAAGTAAACTACGTTTCAATTCAAATAGGAGAGGAAGGTGGGTCGCAGTGCATGCAGCATGAGATGGGATGACTACGTAACTGTTACGGAGCACTCTTAAATCCATTCTGCCTCAATATGATTTGGTGATCATTCCTTCTGAACACACTGTACATACACACACCCAAACACCACTGTTCTATAGTTTGTCCCTCTATAGTGCCTGCGTTTTGTCGAGTCCATCCCTGCGTTGATCTTTTTCTACGACTCTATTCCCAACAGCGTTTCCTTATACGTATACATTAGCACGTTCGCTCCACTACGCTATCCTTTACAATGCCGTTCTCTATTTTCCCGATTACCATCGTGCTCCGAGCCTGCTTTCTCGCAGCTCGTACATGTTGGACTATCGGTGTTTGTTAAACCGGATAGTGATGCAGTTTGATGTTTACAGGTTCTACACCATTGCGATTTCTGCTTCAGTAACGTTTTGTGGAAGAAACCCGTTTGTCGCAGTCTGTTGGGTTTTCTATGCTTCATTCTTTGTGGATCACTGTAAGCTATGCAGCCAACAAGTACACTTACCCGATTTGGTCCAGAGACAGCGTAGACAATCGCGCACACGATTCCCGTTACAAACACGACAATGCTGAGGACGAACAGCATGGCCGAACACATGGTGAAATCGAAACGGGTTTGTATGGCGAACAAGGAGATGGCCAAACATAGCGCGGCTGTGATACCAGCTGCAATAAGGACCGATTCCGTGTTGTAAAAAGACGCAATAGTACCACACATGTAAGAGAATGCCAGCGTCTATTGTGAAGGGCGTGTGTGCGCGCACGGTTTGCAGGAGACGGGAGATTGAAGCAGTGAAGAAAAAGGCATAATCGTTTAAAGTATAAGGTAACTGATTGACAAAAGTCACACTGAATAAACAATCAGGAACAGCTAAGAACAACGTCACGCAAGAGTCGTTGTATTCTGGTCTACTGGAAGATTAAAAAAATGGATTCAATCTTCACCTCTAACGGGACAAATTAGGACTGACGAAGTTAGCAACAATTGAATAATAAACCACATTTTCCGATTGGATAATAATTCTGATAATAATCCAGATTAACTCATTAGAAAAGGGTCGATAATACAACATCATTTTACGTGACGCTGAAAAGCACTGTACAGCTGTCTCATTCGGCTTACGAGGGATTGTCGGCAGTGCATATCCACCCAGCTCGAACCCAAATGTCAGACTGGGTTCAGTATATTGCAACTAGGCCGTCAGAAATGTGATTTCAACGGTTGATTTTCCATCAATATCATACTATACGGTACCGTATAGTGTGAATCAGATCGACGGGTGCCCATCAATCTGATTCCGGTAACCCATCGCTGATGGTATTAAACAAACAGTATCTTGTACAACTATTTTGCTATCTGTAGTAAACAGGTGTTATCACGAACTTCTATTTTCGAAACAGGAGTAGGCGATTTAGGTCACTACTGCGTCGGTCCCTAGGAAAGTACGTTGATGGTCAAGTGAGCTAAGGCACTGTCACCGGCGTGCGTTCGCCTCGAAATCCGAGGTTCAAACCCTACAGACACTAACGAAACTAGACCGTTCGACTCCTGGCCGAGTAGCACGCTTGTTTTACTAAGGTCTTCGTGGGAGTACACTAGAGCCTGGGTCTTCAGTTTCTATGAAAGAATAGTAGTAGGACATCGAGTAAACAAATGAAAAGAAAGAATTTATTGTCACTAATTTCGTTCTCCTCCCCCCTCTCTCTCTTATTGACATTCCTCGTGCATCCCAGATACTAGTAATAAACAGTACTGTCCATCCTTTTGAAAGGATACCTGACAAAATGATGAACAATCCTTTATACTATTAACTAGCTTCCAAAAACAAGAAACATTAGAAGAATGCTCTTAAAGTTGATATCATATATTATTTTCACGTTACTGAGAAAGTTTGTAATGAATTATTAAGCAAAAGCAATAATAAGTTTCAACGGATGCCGCGAGGCTAAAAAAAGGAAAATTACGCTCAAGTGCACTTGGAAAACGTTGCACACTTACCAGTAGTGTCATTCCAACAGAGGAGCAGAACAACGTAAGGGAGATGGGTCGATTTTTAACTTCTCAACCCGGCTTACCGGAATGATTAATGGACTTAGTCCGTGAAGGTGCGAGAGACGGAGGACCACATTCACCAGTAAATTCCTTTCGTAGACCACTAGTTCTATCTGCCTTGATCTGGGAGTGGCCCGTGATCCTATTGGCAGCATCGCACTCTGATTCATGTCAAATAATGTGCCGAGGGAGTTTGTTTCCCATTTATCATAACTGCACACAACTATCATGTTCGGGAACAGTTGTTTTTCTAACTATGTAGAAAACATAGTTTGAAAAAAATGATGTTCTCATACGAGGATGGTTGCTTCGATGTGGTTGTTCCCAAGTAGGTCTGTGATAAGGTACTCCAACGGCACTAAACTGTTGAATAAAGAACCAGGTAAGTTGAAAGTTTTCCGAAATGTCTTCAGTGTAGCTAAATTCGGTACGCATTTTACGCCCTCACAGTATGAAGCAGAGTTGGGTTGACTCACCTCTCGAACTCACTGTAACACGGGAGGAAACACGAACGGAAGCCGAACTTCTACACTTAAGCAACTTCAAAGCCCCAGTTGGGCGGAATCCTGGATGAACATGCGGTATAGACACGGAGGGTTAGTTTGCCCTTTCTCAAAACGTTTCAAGAGTCGTCACGACATCCGTCTGCTTTCGAAGGTCAAGTGTGTGTTGCAAAAGCCTCGGGAATGCTATTGTACGTAATGAAACCGTGTAGTTTATTGTAGAAGATAAACACAGACGATCGGTGTTCGAGCCACATAGCACATAGCAGCTGGGGCTAACAAAAGAACAGGCAATGCCAAAAGAAGGTAACCGCGGCCGGGCTCTCATCTAAGTTCTCTGGCACTAGAATATGCTGAGTTTGTCACCGTACAGGAATGATGTTTATCGAAGGACATCGTGGTTGGACCTTAGAGACCAGAAAATAGCCTGGGGGAAACAACAGCCATGATACCTAATGTGTGTGAACTCCACGATCAGCACCACAGCACCATTACGAGACAGTCTGAGTGACTAACTGCACACAATTTATCTTGGTAAAGATCACTGTGCGGCAAGCAGTGTAAAATATAACATGAGAAAAACATGGTACCACGTTATGAGCAAACCAGATCGCAGATCAATGTGAAATTGGTCAATGAAATGCGCGCCAGACAATCTGGG